TGCTCCATCAGGTGACCAGTCGCAGAGGTGTGATTGTGTGCTGTTATGATTCCTCAGTGAATGACCCCTGTAATTCCTCAGATGTACCATGGAGGTGACTAAGATACGACCTCCACATCTTCGTCTCTAGTACGACTACCAATATTCGCAGAGTAATTTTTGGAAGGTATCAGGAGGATAAAAGCCCTTTGCCGCTTATCAGTCCTCTAGTGACTTTTGCATGCTTTGCTGTACATGGTTATCATGGAGAATTACGGGGCCAGCCGAAATACAAGTCAGTGCCACAAACCACCCAGACAGATTACCGTCCAATTTGCCAACCAGTGATGGAAAGAAGGTTCAATTTAGTACACTGGAAAACCCTGACATGCGGTAGGCGTGGCTGCGTGCTTAAACTGAAGGTGGTGGCAGCTGAGCTTTTCGTGAGATGTTTTCATTTTTGGGCAATTGAGATCATGCTTTGGCCAACACAGAACAAGATGACAGTTGTCTCGAATTGAAATATCCCACGAGTAAGCCATCCTATGCCGTGCTGGAATGCCACGCCTACTTCGTCTCAGGGATAAGGAGTGTAGGCTCCGGCAGGCAGCTAGGCCGCTACATCACCTATAGGTCGCGCACGTGGCGAAACCACTATTACACCTCCGTCTGACTAGAAACTTTTACTCCCACAGAATTCCTTGGTAATGGACAGTTATGTGTTCTCCCTCGTGATGAAATGAAAATGGTCCAGAACTTCCATTCGCTTAAAATCCCTTTCCACCCATCGGTCAAATACAGCCCTCTCCTGATAGGGATTCGACAACGATGCGTGCACTTTGTACGATCATTAGTAGTTTTCTTGTTACGATAATTGCGACCTGCGCCTTTGAATGAAAAGAAGCACAATAAAATTGTGCTGAAAAATCGTTTACGCTCCCAATGGGTCATATGCGATTTCACGAGTCGTTTTGTTGGATCGCCTTGCACTTTTTGCACCCCTTGGTCATGTCTCCAGCAGAGCGATAAACAATCAGTTTCGGCGGTTCGCTGACCTCAAACTGGCCACCGCAACTCAGATTCGCCGTTTCGTTCCCTTTTCGGTCCGCAAATGCGATTTCGGTTTTTTTATAGACGGCGAATTTTTCTCGCCTTTGAATTTCGCGATTTGTCGAGGCGTTGACCTTTTCGATACGCACATCGGAGAGACTGAAGTCGTCCCAATGATAGACGTCGTGACAGCACCACACCCCATTGTCATGCCTATAAAACCCATGTCAAGATACGGGAACGATATACTTTCGTTGCGGTTTCCTTTGTGAGCATAGATATCTGGGGTGATATCCGTCATTATGCATGTTCCCACCTCAGCCTTCTCTTTTATTTTCTGAGTTTAGCGGTTTTCTCATATAAGCAGAGCTCGGCGCAGTTCGGCGACGGGGGGAGGAGGAAGGGGGTATTAAGCTTTTTCGCTGCTTCCCTAGTACAAAACCACTCTGGTGAAAGCTGTGAACCTCTTTGAGGCCGGAGTAAGCTCGCTGAGCCATCATGGTAAAACTGTCAACACCCTGTGAGCCGTCGATATAGCTCTGCTTAGCATCGTGTCGACTATACGATTGTTGAAGTAGCAAATGTGCAAATTCCGCCCGTCGAACCACCACCGACTGCATTCGTAGGTGACGTCCTCCTGCAGGTAGCATTCATGATCACCTGGGAAGTAAGGACATAGGAATACATTGACCAGAGAATATCACTAGAGCTACGAAAAGATTAAGCCAGATTCCAAAATGCTAATGTTTAAAAACTCCTCGATACAATTTTTCGAGTAACTACTCGCTAAATAGAACCAGACAGCTTCTGAATTGTTACTTGTCAGCTAAGCCTGAAAGCTATAACCTATTTTTCTAAAAGTTTAATCTTCTAAAAGTGCTCAAGAGCCGAACTGCGCCCAACGAGCAAGCTAGCCCAGACTGGTAAGCGATAACCCATACTAATCACAGTGGCAAAGCATCTTCTGTCTCAAGCTTGCAGCACGTGCGTTGACAAGGTAGACGCGATTTAAGTTGCGTTCAAAGACTTACGGTAAAGCGTTCTGAGCGTTTTCTCGAGCGTACTAGAAGTGACATAGGTATCAATCTGCGTAGCGCCAGCATACACAGCGTTTTGAAGGCATGACGCTAGTATTTTATGCAGGCGTATTCTCCGAAAACTTTCAGGACGCCTGGCGTACCCAATAAAACCCCAGACTCGGTACCTATGTTTCCTCTTTGCTCGAAGCGCTGCCGAACGATCAAAACGGCTAAGCGCAAAGTATGAACGCAGCGTCTCACTCTGGCATTTTTCTTCCCACGAGCAACCAGTAATGTTTCTGTGGTTAAGCGGTACTACAGTACCACTATCTAGTAGAGCGGTGCCCTAGCATTACAAGCTGCTGGGTTACCGACTTTGCCACTTAGCATTCTAATGTAAGCAAAACGTAAGAAGCCTGACATATGCAACTGGACTATCGAAGATTGCGCTCCGGTGCCTGTACCAAATCAGTTTTTTTGACCGAGCAGGTAAGGTGAGTTGCCGCGCGGAGACTGCAAAGTTTTGTGTGTGTGTGTGTGTGTGTGTGTGTGTGTGTGTGTGTGTGTGTGTGTGTGTGTGTGTGTGTGTGTGTGTGTGTGTGTGTGTGTGTGTGTGTGTGTGTGTGTGTGTGTGTGTGTGTGTGTGTGTGTGTGTGTGTGTGTGTGTGTGTGTGTGTGTGTGTGTGTGTGTGTGTGTGTGTGTGTGTGTGTGTGTGTGTGTGTGTGTGTGTGTGTGTGTGTGTGTGTGTGTGTGTGTGTGTGTGTGTGTGTGTGTGTGTGTGTGTGTCTGTCTGTCTGTCTCTCTGTCTCTCTCTCATGAAGACATTGTGGTCGTAAGGTAGTGCGGTCGTACATCTGTAACAACGGCTACGCTCAGGCTCACTACTTTCGTAACCTAACTCTCTGAACATCTGCTTGCCCCTGCATGCACTTTTGAAATTATCTACTGAACATGGAATACTTGTTCGTTTTCAGTATGCTTTCAATAGCGGTGTACAGCACTGCTACCCTATCGGTAATCGTGGTAGCGAGTTGTATAGGTGTTGGGTGGTTGATTGTTCAAGAAATTCACAGTATGCATGATGAGGTGATGGAGAATATCGAGGAATTTAGAGTGAGTCAAGAATTTCAAGTTTTTTTTCAACCAATGGTAGGCTCTATCACGTGTAAAATCAGGCCAGCTTCCAGGTTTTCAATTCCCTAGGCTAACCTATGAGTGGTGGACTGCATGGAGTGAGTAAGAGGAACTTATACTGATTCGCGCAGGAAAAACAGCAGTAGCAGTTGCAAGAGGTTCTAGCGCGCAGCTGGTATTGCTACTGCTAGGCATTTCCCACGCAAACCAGAATAAGTCCTCTAAGTACACGAAACCGGAATACGAGCTGAATTTCCGACTGCGCGATGATCGAGCACTCGGAAGTTCACCTCCGTATTCCGCTGTACTCAGGCTGTACGATCGAATAACACAAAAAGAATCAAATAACGTTGGATAAGCATCAAAGGAATGGTTTGCATGTGGCTAATGGCTTCCGTGGTCGAGTAAGCCCAAGTAATCTGTTTCCACTACACAGTGGCTGCTAGCAATATTTTTTGCAGGAATATAGAGCAAAAGGTTGACACTGTAGGTGAAGCACTCATTTTCGGCCATCCCTTCGGCAATTGGACTGCTGATGTCGGGTTGGGAGGAAAATGCTGTCAGTGTTGCGGTTCTTCTTCTGTATTTTTTTTATTCGGCATACAACGAAAATCATTAATATTTTAGTTATCGCTAGTTACTAGAGTGTCTACCTAGTGAGCGGATCCTCTCCCTCAGAAAAGAAGGAAATAGGAGATGTACGCGACGTTCCAAGTAACACCATCGAGCTCGAAAATGATTTCTTAATGAGGAACGCTCCTTAGTATGAAACAATGACACTTGAAGGGGCTATGCCAGGGAATCAGGCGGATGTGGTTTTACTCAGCCCCTAATTTCCCTGCCTCTTTGAATTTTTTTGAAATTTCCTGCGAAGTATGTAACTCCGCGTCATGAAGCAGGTCGGCATTTCTGAAGTCTAGATAGCCATGGGTCCTTGGGAGCAGCTCGTAGCAGGCCAAATAAATTGAGTTCCATAGGAAGCTGACCATGAGGAAAGTCCTATCGAGGTGCACGTCCAAGTTAGATTGTGGAGGTTGTAGAAGCAGTTATGCGGCACGATGAGAGTTGGAGTCGTAGAGTACACAGCTCTCGTTCACTCAACCAGACCTTCCAGAGGCTGCTTTTGGTAGAGCGGGAAGCGGGGATATTGACAGCGCTGTCACCCTCGTGGTTTTGAGATCTGGGTGCTATATAGGTACGATGGTGCGTGGTACGGTTTCTAGCCTTGGAGAACCACCGTAGCACCCAGACTTAAAGACAGCCCCCGCGATCAAAGTGGCTCGTGGTCGCCTTTGCTGTGCAAGTAGTCTAGCCTCCAAGCTAGAAGATGTCCACCTTTCGCGACTCTATTGTGAGCGTGGAGGCTGCTATAGCCGCTCAAAGTGCTAGTTCTAACTCCTCCTCAGTCGGACCGCCTTTACTTGCTAGATGTCCTTCCGACGGAGGCCACTCACTTGTTCTTAGTTGGGGCGGCGGGCATTGCTAATGCCCCTGGATAATTCTGCTCTCCTTCATTACAGTTTACTCATTGGAGGTATATACATTCAATTCAACCCATTTCGCGAGGTGAAACGCGTAAAAAACACGAGTGACGCAATTTTCGTGATGCAAAACCACGACGCACAAAAGGTGCGCTACCGTAATCACAAAATTCAGACACCGTGTTGATAAAATTCCTTTTTCCTTCCCAGAGTTTTTCCTCTGCGTTTTTGTTGTTTTCTTTTTGTATTCTTTCTTTTGCACTAGATGATATCAACTACTGCGAGATGTGATAGAGAGATTTGTGAGCTAGGGGCTGCACAGAGACCGCAGGAGGTGTAACTGTGAGGGAGCGATTTTGTTTATGTTGTTCTGGAGACGCTTCTTGCCTGTTTTCTTCTTTGGGAGATTACTTTTATCGTGCATGTTTTCAAATGGCGAAGCAGTATCCATGAGACTTTTCTATGCGCGGGAAGCTGTCCCTTAACACAGACCTTGAGGTACTGACTGGATTAGCTTTTCAAGAAAAAAACAGTTGTGGGAAACTCATTCCTAGTCATCCGGCCCTCCCAAACCTTCCAAATTAAGGGAATGTGGCTAGATAATTCAATTTCCCAGTGAAAAACGGTAAGAATGATTAATTAAACCCATCTTGACAACCAGAAAAAAATTTTAGTTGGTCTCTGAAGACACGTGGTCCGAAATAATGGGCTTTGGAAGCGCTGAGACAAAACTCTCACCGTTTGCGAGGTTTACTGGGAGACATAAAAGGAGTGACAATGTTTGCTGTAAGTTCCACATTTCTCCTATTTCGTCGACATGTTCCGATGGTGTTTCATTTTTAGATTGTGGTCTGCCAAAACGTACCTGTCCACCCGGTCCGCAAGGCTCACCAGGTGCCCCAGGTGATCCCGGTGAAATCGGTCCAGATGGAATAGACGGACCTCCTGGACCGCCAGGAAGGCACATCATTATTCCCGATAACTATCCTAAAAGTAAGTTTGCGATTTTCGTAGGTACTACCAAAGGTTCCAAAAAAGGCTGCTTTCAGCATGTATCCGTTGTCCGCCTGGTCCACCAGGTGATGATGGTCCGACGGGTTATCCAGGAGCCCCCGGTCTGCATGGCGGAGCGGGTCCAATAGGATTACCAGGCGCGGATGGAGAACCAGGAGAGCGAGGCGAACCAGGAAATCCTGGAGAAATGGGAATGGCTGGACAGGTGCGTAGCTGAGCATGTTATCAAAAATACTAACATTTTCGCATCATTTTCAAATGTGTTAATTACGATCAGAGACATTCTAGAGACATTCAGGAAGTGCTTCTCCGAGGTAGGCTTGGAGTCTCGTACATGTTGAGGCTCACGAAATTCAATTCTAGAGCTTACGATTATTACGGGACCGAGGCACTAAAAGAAAATAAAGCCTTTGCCGCTGATCAATTCTTTTTTGGACTGCGGCACGTACTCCCCCTCCATTCAGAATTGAAACGGCGTATTGGATGCGATGTAGCTTACACAAGGACCTATAGTGCCAGGCAATGTACAAGTCAACGCCCTTATCATTCCAGATGAATCTGGAACACACTCAACTCATCGTCCTCAGAGAGCAGAGTGCTACTCGCATAAACCGGAGCCGATGCGGGTTTGCACCCCCGGACCATTCACGTTGCAAGCCTGCCATTCAACACTACACCTAGCCTCAATAATATAGAGCGAGTGAATGGAAATTGGAGGCAAAGCCCACCATCATACGCCATCACAGGTAGTGGATAAGGGGTATGGATTTAGGCGACAAGGTGTTCATTAAGTCTACAGTGAAGAAAAAGGCAGAAAAACAATAGCAATCACAAAACAACAACAACAACAAATAACACTAGAACTACATTTTGGTCACGATGTGTACATGCCCATCTGACTCCACCTCCAACACTAGCCCTCATTCGCACAGCCGACCTCCTAATAAGAAGTGTACGACCGTACAAAAGACTCTCATGCTTTTTTCTATCTTGCAGCTTCGTTTTTCACTGAAAGGCGGGCTTTGAAGGCGGAGTCTGGAGGACGGAGTCACTGGAAAAAAGGAGGCGTCACTGAACCCACATTGCACTATAGCGCCCCTTCATTAGGCTGCGTTTATACTTTGCGGCAGCGTAGCGTAGCGCTTCCAGCGTACGCCAGCGGCAGTGCCGGGGAGAGGATGCATATCGATCTAGCGTTCCCAGCGTCACGTAGCACCAGCGTTTCTCCAGCGTTTCACCAGCGTTTTGCTAGCGTTTGCAGCGGCAGGGGAGTAGAGACTGTGGCCGTAAGAGACGCGGAATCGACGTGTATTGTAGAGACTATGTGGCCGTCAGAGACGCGGAATCGACGTGTATTGTAGAGACTGAGGGCGAGTGAGAGACGCGCAATCGATGTGTTTTGTACCCTCCAGCTCTCCCATAGTCTCTACTCCCCTGCCGCTGCAAACGCTAGCAAAACGCTGGTGAAACGCTGGAGAAACGCTGGCGTACTACGCTAGCGTGACGCTGGTGACGCTGGGAACGCTAGATCGATATGCATCCTCTCCCCAGCACTGCCGCTGGCGTACGCTGGAAGCGCTACGCTACGCTACGCTGCCGCAAAGTATAAACGCAGCCTTACAATTTTTTGCCGCGAAATCGGAACGGAACGGAAATTGTTCATCTCGGATCACACAACCACACAACCCTCCCAGCGCCATATTTTCGACTTTACACCTGATCGCGGACCATGCCTTCGAGCTATGATATCTGAAAAGATTACAACTACAAACACAAGGTGAGGTGTGTATTCGAGCATACCCGTTAGATGCTCAGCACTGCAGAATATGTTGTTGAGCAAGCCATGGCTTTAGGGCCTGAGCAAACCTTCCCTTGAAGTTCACTACCCTCCTTACCTTAGAGAGATGGGTTCGCAGCGTTGTAGAGTGCCGCCCCTCCCGCTCAATTGCCACGTGAAACTGTCTGGATGTGTGAATCATCACTCGGCGTGTCGCTTCTCTCCATTGCGCGCTCTCACGCCTAACTATAACCAATCGACTTCCCCCCCCTGACGGCACTTCGGCGACGGGGAGGGAGGCATTTTATACTTCCATTGCTTCAATGTTCCGGTTTACAAGTTTCACTCTGGTGAAACCTGTGAACTCTTGTGAAGCTGGAGCAAGCTCGTCAAGCCATCATGGTAAAACCTGTCAACTCGAGAAGAGGCTGTCTAGATGGGTCGACACGTCGATGGAAGCAGCAAAAGTGCAGAATGGCCCACCCCGTCGCCGAACTGCCCCAACCAATGGCGCTACTTGTCTGCTCCATTTCAACTCTAGTTGATCTCTGCTTCTGAGCGGGGAAGGGGGGCGCACTTCTGCAGCGGCGGACCCATTCACCTCGAACACGACACGCAAGTCGTGCACCTTGAGGTAGCGGAAGCAGAGTCCGAAATGGCAGCTGGGAACCACTACCCGTTTCCGGAGACGCGCTCTCCAGAGAACAGCTTTTTATTTATAGAGCTGCCGACCCCTTCTCGCACATAGTGAGAAATGTCTCCGGAGGCAAGAGCAGAGGGAAACAGCATCGTTGTGCGAAAGCGATCGGGAGTCGTACTTGGCCGCCGGGGAGGGGCGGGTCGTAAACGCTGGGTCGGTGAGCACCAAACAGCACAAAAGTGTTACTGCTAAGCCTGATGGAGTGGACGGAAAGCTGCGCAGGACTCGGATGTAAGGAAGACTACAAAACCTTAAAACGTTGATTAGCAGTATCAATAGTTACCATGAACTCGTAAGTACTTAGATAACTGAATAATACAATTCAATTCAACAGATTCGTGTTGTGATTCGACCTTTCCAGTCCCTAGTCAAACATCTGCTTGCATGGACAAAATTCACCTAAAATCAGAAGTTACACCTTTCCACCACCTCTGCGTAGAAGCGTAATGCACGGCGCACGCTCGGACCAAATCGATCGATGATAACCAAATTATGCTTTGACTCAGTTCAACGAAATATGTGTTTTGGAGGCATATTGGAGTTTGCCAATGAGTGTCCTTACAATCACAGAAGCTCTTGAGTGGCTCAGAATGTCGCTGCTACCCAATTTGAATATCTTCTGAACTAGCGGGTCTTCAGAAAAACCGTAGAACTTATTGGAAAGATGAAATAGTCAGCGTTCCGGTGGCGTTTTTATTTTTATAGAAGATTGCGTTTGAAAGAAGTTATTCTCGTGTGAAGCATAAAAACCCGCTCGCGATTTACCACTAACGCGTCCGTAACCCATCCGAAATATTTCACGAACGGGGAAGATTCATATTACGAGTAGCTAGAATACACAACAGTAGAGACATTTCTCGTACTTGCCGCCTTTCGTTATCAAAAAGCCCGGCACCTAAAAAGCTATCACCTCAGAGAAAGCCCCGCGATTCCCACCCGGCCAAAAGATCTGCTCCACTGCTAATCTGCCGTGGCATCGTAAAGCGGCCGCAAGCGCTTGCGACTCGTTAGGCATTGTTCACAGTCTGCGTCCCAGCGTTTCTTTAGGAAGAAACGCTTCGGCGAAAAGCTTTCGATACGTATCGATTGGCGGTTGGGCGAAGAGTCTGGCGGTTGCGCGAAACGGTTTTGATACGTATCGACGGGCGGTTCGGCGGAGCGGTTGGGCGAAAACGCTAGCCCGACCGCCCTGGCGTTTTTCTCTAGGGCGGAGCCAGCGAAATCGATACGCATCTATTGCTTTCGCCGAACCGCCGAACCGCGGCGGCGTTTCTCCAGAGCGGTTGGCGATTCTCCGATCAATACGTATTTATTGCTTTTCGCCAAACCGCTGTTTCGTCAGGGCCGTAGACTGAGAATAATGCCTTACGTATCTAATCCCTGACGTCAGAGCAAACAACTGAGGCCAAAAGGGGAGGGGTCGTACCAGGATCTTTTTCCGGGGGGGGGGGAGGAAGAGGGTCGTACTGACACCGCCATTTCATACATCACGATGCTGTATCCTGGATAGGAAGCCAACTGGCCTTCCAGTGAAGCACAGTGCTCTCTGCGTCATCTAACTTCGTCATTTTTTGATCCATTTAGGAGCCACACCTTAAACTCGACATCCGCATTCGAGTTACTGATATAGTCTTGTCACTTTCTCGTTTCAACAAATGTTGGAGAGCGGATTTGGCACGCGCCAAACGCCTCCCGCCTGACACGCCACTTCGCCTGCAGCCTGTCTGTCTGTTGAGGGGAACCAGTATTAGTAGCATTGAAGCTTGTAGAATAATCGGCATTGGCGTCATGGCCGTGGAAAGTTTCCAACGATTTCTTTCAATTACCCAAGTCACCGACACGAATGTGAGTTTGGATGACCAGGTACGTAGCTACGTACTTCAAATGTGCCAGCAGCAGCGCTTCTGGAGGGATATGGCAGTTTGAGAACTTTGCAAACAAGACTGTTAAGTACAAGAAAGGATAACAGCTATATCGAATGGAAATACCCACGAATAATGCATCCTACGCCATGCTCAAGTGAACATCGCAGCCACGCCTACTCTATCGCTGGGATGTGAGTGTAGCACAGCACCGTCGTTGTCACGCTATTAACGTCGTCCATGTACTCACAGCATGATTGTCCAAAAAAGGCAACCTACTCCTATTTATATACATTATCTTCACAAATTTTTTTGTGGTTAGAAAAGATTCTAGTGCTAGGACGATTACGTTCTCTTCAAAATCTTTCTTCTACGGCTGCAGTTCGTTATTCAGGACGGCCTTCCTGGACCACCTGGTGCTGATTGCTTCACTGGTCGAGGTGCACCAGGATTGCCTGGACCGACTGGCTTACCTGGGAAGCGTGGTCCACCTGGAGCCGACGGGGATCACGGATCTTGTGGAGCACCTGGCGAAGAAGGGCCAGCTGGCTCTCCTGGATTGGACGGCCTTCCTGGATTTGATGGCGCTATTGGACCGGTTCGTTATGGATCATTGACCTCTTCTGTTGAGAAGGTATTGGCTAAATTGGTATTTTCGTTTCAGGCAGGAGAGCAAGGCGATCCCGGAAATGATGGTGACTACTGCAGTTGCCCTGTTCGTGGGAAATATCCAGAAAAATTTAAGTTCAGGTTTTGAATGTCTGAGTTATAACACTGTGAATAAATCTCTATTTAAGTGCAAGTAATGGCTAACATAGCTTTTCAAGACAAATAAATGGAACAGTAGATAGATGTACACCAGTAGAACATTAGCACAGATTACTGTTAGCTTAGCCGTCTTGAATTCGGATGGGATGAAATCGACGATGCATCGCTGCTGGCACGTTTCTTCATCACGTCTGCTTTTTTCTTCTTCTTTATCTTAGGCGAGTCAACCCTTGACTCCCTCTCCACTTCAGTCTAAAATACGAAAAAGAAGTGAGAAAGCTCACACTTCTGTATAACATTCCTTGGAATTAAACTGAACCTAGTGTATCAAAACTCACTCTTACAGCCCATTGCCTTTCGAGAAAACGGAGTATATATGGCTTCTTATCATTAGTAATCTGCTTCTCATCGTCACGACGTGGTACATGATACGCGACCTTCACAGCTTTCGTCCCGTCCTGAGCCTGAATGACATTTAGGGTTTATTTAAACGAGTTTAAACGCGGTGGATGGAAGCACAGATGATCAAAAGCGCGCGATCGCAAGGTGTGGAGACGTTTTAAGGCTGTGTTCATACCTTGCGTCCGTGTTTTGAACGTTTCTGAGCGACTAGGAAAGTGAGGTATCGATCTAGCATTTGAGCGTACATCAGCGTTTTTAGCGTTCCACGAGTAATTTTGAATTTTTCGCGAGCAGCCGCTGAAAACGCTGCCGTACGCGTACACTTCCCTAGTCGGTGCAACGCCCGAAAAGCTGCCTTACGCTCGAAACGCTCACAAAGCTGCTATACGCTTAAAACGCTGACGCAGAGTATGAACACTGCTAATACTGGCCAGAAGTGTAGAAAGTAGCTGAAGAAAACTGCTGAATATGACCTGGCATATACAGCGAGTCGCTTAAAAACTGATTGAAAAGATTTGTAGCTTACGTAGGCACCTGAATATTGAGGGCTTCTCGAGCAAACTGCAGTTCAGCTAAGGACTACTGATGAAAGTCCATGTGGGTAATACGACTTTTGTTTTTCGTACAAAGTGTGGGTTATTTGGAGCAAACCGCTTTGAACCTTTCTTGATAAGAATGGATCAATTAATGCGGATTAGTATTCTGAGGGATTCGTCCTACATTTGATAAACGTAATAAACACCTCAGAACAAAGAGGGCTAAGAAGGCCATCTGCGCAGAAATGGACGTTCCTTGCATTTGCTGCATTCCCACGATCACGAATCTGAATTCTAACCGCAACTTCAACTGACTAGCAATGAACTCTGTTGCCTTTCTATTCATTATGCGGCAACAATTAGTGTTATAATGCGCAGTAACGCAAAAGCTTGTTATTTTAGGGTTTCAAAACAAACGCCCACCGTTTCCTCTTTATAGAAACCCAGCTTTCTTAGTTTCCCAGAAGCTTTGGTTGCCGTGATGTGGTGAAAAAAATGTGAATGTCTGTATATATGTAAGAACCGATTTTATCATATGTATGGCATCTCGATGCGCTACTAACGACAATTACCAATCTTTCAAAAAGATCCACCAGCAGAGTTAGTAGAATGTGCCATTACCAGAGTATAACGGAACGACCTGCATAAACTACCACTCAAACGTTTACCAACCCCCGATTCAAGTGTGAAAGGGCACAGGACATTACGGGAATGAAACCATAATCAATTTGGCATTGAACAACAGACTCGTCCGTAGTGGTGCAGCTCTGGCTGCGAATCTGACTGGTCCTGGCGACGGCCATGGTTTTCGTGAGATAATTCCATTTCGGGACAGTTCTCACCAGTCTTCGCCCAACACCGTACAAAATGATAGTTATCTCAAATTGTCACTACACCATTTCCGCCTCGATCTTCGAGATATGGAGTATAAATGAAATGGTGTTGTTCTCTTTTAGTGTAAGCCAAACTCCTCGATTAGCTTCGACTTTCATTCGGAAGACGGGGTGTACGTGTTTCGAGTCGTAACAAATAAAACTGAAAAAATAAATACGAAATACCCTACGAGCAACCCATCCTATAGATGTCAAATGCCACGCTTACTCCGTAACAGGGATAAGGAGTGTACGTTATAGGCATCGCTGTTATTTATCCAATAGCATCGCTGCACTGATAATCACTTTTCCGTGTTTTATATGACGATTAGCTCGGGCACGTGTCTGTTCACAGTCTGCGACCCTGACGAAAGGGCGGTTGAGCGAAACATTTGATACGTATCGACGGGCGTTTCGCCGAAACGCCGCGGTTCCGCGAAACGCCCGTCGACACGTATCAAAACTGTTTCGCCCAACCGCCAGACTCTTCGCCCAACCGCCAATCGATACGTATCGAAAGCTTTTCGCCGAACCGCTTCTTTCCAGATAAACGCTGGGCCGCAGATGTGAACAAGGCCTCAGCTTCCTCTTCCCATCCCCTTCTATCGTGTTTCTTTCCGAAAGAATTCTTCAAACGTCTCACTTATAGGACTGGTTTTAACTCCAGAGTAACAAGAAACTACTGTAAATTGTTGCTATTTCCTCTTGTTAGGGGTACACTCTAACCCCCCTGTGAGGAGAATCCAGGACGCTAAGAACGCAAACTATTACTCTTCTAGTAATTTAAGACATATATAGCCAAGGATGTACTTGCCGCCTGAAAATGAGCAATGAGAAAAAAAGAATGCACTCTGCTTTTCTTGTGAAACCAGCGAATCCCCCACAACACGTAAAAATGCTGACCTTGCAGCCAACGAAATCGCATTTGATTGAAAAATCCCAAATAACTAAACTATCTTTCATCCTCAGGGCTGTTTATTTTTGCTGAAAATCCCAAGCTAGGAGATGACTCACTGCAACAGTTGGTTTTTTCGCTAGATCGATTGTTCCATTATTCCCATTTTTGAAGGCTGGACGTTAGTATTGAATTGTAAACCACGTACTATTATATCAAACCCTTCGTCGGAGGTCTGAGGAAATTCCGCAACATTTTTGCATGCTATTAGCTTGACGTGGTTCTATTTTACGACACATTTTTATGACGCAACATCATACCATCGTCACATAGCCGAAATTTCTCACTTTTCTTTGACTCCTATTACTAAGTGAGCCTCTTGAACCGATGAACCTGAGATGTGCACTTTCTTAATGCACGATCCTCTTTCCTGATAAATGGTGTAGCAAAAGCAAAAAAAGACTAGGTAAGCAGGACTGATAGCATGTAAAAATGTTTCGAAATCCTTTCAGACCCTCTGAAAGAGATGACATTACCACAACTTCGAGTCCAATGAAACGCTCCGCCTTAACAACCTACAAGACACAAAGTAGAATCTCCAGTTCTATAACGGTTGACAGTCTACAGTATTTCAGCTGGTGTACTCGAAAAAAGACATGCTCAAATAGCTTCTAGAAGAAGAAACCTGGCTCAGTTCCCATTCTAAAATAGAACATGCACACACGGTGGCGCTAAAGCAAGGTACAGTTTAAAGGGAGCCAACTATTTTCAGAAGCAAACACGCTGATATGTTGGGAATGTAGCAAAACATGAACTATTAGAGAGGTTAACTCAACCAATTAACTCATACTAATTCTCTCTGAGATGAGCAAGGACTTCAGTAGGCTCATTTCTTCGCCAACCTCTAGACCTCTAGTGGGAGAGAAAACTTGCCCACCAACCTCTCGCAAGGAATGCGCGACACAACACGGTAACTGCATAGGTAACCGAACCACTATCGTGCCCGAAAACACCGTAAATTTAATTGTGATGCGCACACCACACTGTATTCCACACCTATGATGACCACATGGCCAGGACAAGGCACGGACTTGGAGTGAAGTATGTTTTCCAGTTGTTTCGAAGCGACAATGATGTAATGGGCTAGAAAATGGTATTCCAATTTGAGCATATCGGTACAATGCGGGAAGAACTGATTGCTAGTTGAAGCTGACTATGAAGATGTTTGCTCAAAACGGGAAAAACTCAGGAATGAAAGAAAAAACTTATTCTTCGTGCAAAGAGTACCGCTAGCTAAAAGGCACGTGCGAAACGAAAGCTGAGATACCTCTGCTTTCGATTCCCCCTCCCCCCGAACATCCCCTTTTCACTAAATCTCAGTTGTTCGGTTACTCAACAAAGCCTAATAACTTTCATTTTTCATGATTTTCACTTGGATACTCTGCGCCCAAGTGTGCCATGCAGGCAACCCGAAATTACAACATGAGTAGACCAACTCCTCCTTACCTACCCTCACTCCCTGAGACGGAGTAGACGTGGCATTTGGGTATGGTATAGAATGGGTTACTCGCGTGGGTTATTTCAACTTGAGACAACTGTTATCTTGTTCTGTGTCAGGCAAAGACACGACCACAATTTTGTCAAAATCCTATCTCTTCGAAAGCACAGGCCCGCTGCGCCTAGTTGAAGACCGCAACCATACCTAGCGCATCTCAGATTCCATGTGTACCCCTGGGGGCCCTCACCCCAACCTGACTCTTAGTCATCATAGTCGTAGAGCACGGTGTGATGTTCGCACCACAATTTATTCAGGCGGTTTTTTGATACAGCTGCTACCGCAGTTACCGTTCTGCGCGAGGAACCTCTCGTTTTCCAAGACTGCGGCAACTTTACATTCCACAAACGCACCTTCAACTCCTTGTCAGCAAGTTGTGAGAAGTGTCGTGGATCGGAGCAGGGCAAATCGGCCAGGAACGACGCCGCCATTTGTCCCCAACTTGGCCACGACTATCGCCCAGATAGTTTCCTGAAACCCTTAGGATCACACAACTATACAGCTTTTCGCTCACAGCGCAGGGACAACGGCCGTGACGAGGGACGGCCGAGCCCGGCTTGGCTGTGGCTGGCTGGTTGGCTGGCCGGGGCCGGCCGCTGACGAGGGCATGACGAGACATCAAGAGACGCAGACACTGCGCTAATCGTGACTTGAAATAAATTGCCACACTTTCGGTGGTTAGACAACGACTAAAGAACACGTATATAAGGAGGGCGCAGAAGCAATTTCGTAGAGAACACTGCGATGTGTGTTGTAGTGTGGAGACGCAGACGCGTGACGAGCACGATAAGGCCTCGTCGTGTCTTTGTTTGTGTGGCGCGCGGAAGGCCGCGGCAGGAGTCTGCGCTATCAGTGAGCGTACACATCGCTCCGAAACACGTAACGAAGCGTCGCGGTCGGCGGTCGACGCGGCGGCGGCAATAATGAGATGCGAGCAAACTACAAATCTGTTATTGAAGATAGTGACCAGCCGGAAACGCTGAGACAAGACTGAACTGCTCGAGGTGGCCGAGCTGGGAAGGAGCTGGAGCAGCTCCTGGTCCCTTCACGAGCTCGAGCTCCACGGCCAACACCACCGCCGATTGGGCTTAGGCTAGCGCAGCGATCAATATGTGGGTGGGGCCAAGCGACAGCGCGCCCCCACTGTGGCCGGGGCTAGCAGCGAACCACCGCTCTCTCCCTCCGTTTCTCTCTGTATGTATGTCTATCCCTCATTGTGGACATCATCCGATCATCTCCAAATCATATTCATACCTCATCTCCCCTATTCATGGTCCAGGCTTCGTGCCTCATGTCAGTGGTTCCGATTTTCTCGACCTTCCACCCGTGGCGGCTCATCATCCACACGGGCCCCGTCATCACCGTTCGTTCCTGCGCTCAGTTATCCGTACACTCTTATAAACGCGCTGACCATCATACACACACACGCAGCCGCAAGCGCCGATTATTCGAACAGAAAAACGACTCCCGCGCTTTCTTTTCGCTTTTCTCACGCTTCATCTCCATTGCAATATTCCGACGACAACGTGTGTGACGCTTCCTTGACGCACTAATTATCGGGACACTTATGCTCTTCTCAGACAAAAAAAACAAACCCCGAACGAATCTGGCAACATCAAGGTCGAACTGTGTACTTTCTTAACTTAGCTATACTTGTAGAAAAAACTACTCAACATCCGTCTCAGACCCAAAGGTTAGTTGACGAGCTGGGATTAAATTTGATTGTAGATCTTTTTTTATTATGGGCTGCTCAGACCTCGGAGGCTTCCACTAAAATGGCTACGCGCTTCCTGTGTAGCCTTCGGGGATATTGTCGTGTTGTGCTTTTCATGACGTTATCGTTCCGGTGAAGAATTTCATCTACCTTTCCTCAAATCTGTCGTTTCCTTGTGTGTAGCTTTTTCCTGTTTCAATAATTCATAAATATCAGTACATTGCAATTGCTCCTTACCGTGCAGTGTCCCAACATTCTTAAAGGGCTGAGCTTTGAGCGTATCCGTCCAGGTTGTTGCTCTTTGGTAGGATGAGCGCAGATCTCAACACATCCAGCTTTTCGGTACCTTAAAAAACTGTCCCTGGATAAATACGCTCGGATTCGAAACAGCTTCAACTTGAGGTGTCCGTATGTATTGAAGGATAATCTTAAGCATACGCCACACTATCTCAAACTAAAACCAAATTTCCATCTGTGGTTTTTTTACTGGCGTTTTGTAACCGAAGCCGTTTAATAACTACACTTCTCGCAAGTGCCGTGATGAGCCATATTCTTGTAACCAAATTAGTTTACACCTTGGAAATGAGGGGACAAGTCTTCTCAGTGTGAAAAGCAGCCTCCTTGTGCGGTTTTTGTATTCGTTTTTCTTCTTGACCATGCCTTCTTTATGCATTGCTCAGATCTAAGTGATTATGTTATGTTACCTTAGTAATGTGGCTACGTTAGGTTACGATAGGAACGCAGTTAAACCATTGTGCATTCCATCAACCTTATATTTTTTACTGTTGCTGAAATTTTTCTGTAGTAATATAGGAGTGAAGTTGGTAGAAATATGTCATTAACGTTTGAATGTTTGATTTTCCCCTTATTATGCGGCATAGTTTTAAGGGGAAATACTTCATAAATTATTAATCGCTTGAATCTTCTGGGGAATAACTCTCGCTGAGAGCTAACAATCTACCAAGTCAAAGTTGTTGCTTTGTTTGAAAACGGGAAATGTTTTTAAGGGAACGGGTATGTGTAGTGGGATTTCGCTGAAATTCTTACTTATTTCCTGGCTTTGCCCGTTATCGAATGGGATCCTCCAAGTGGAGCTCAACTTCTTTATGAGTGCTAGTTTTCTTTGGATCTTCATTGTTCTTTTCTCACTAATCTATACGTACTTCCATTGAATGTTGATCCAGGCCCTACATTAGCGGTGGCAGACTCACGCTTGTGTCAAAGCACTGTTGGAATTGTTTCCCGTTTTTCCTATCTTCTCTGGCTATTCTCCCTGTTCTTACTTTATTGAGCTCAATACAGTCAGTGTTGTAGTTTCAGAGTAGCAACGTTGTATGCTCTCACACTGCAGTTTGGTTCCGTTATTGAATTATTAAAGAGATGTCCACGGGAGATGGACAACCGCCCCCAGACGGATCTGGACAGGTACTGTTCCCCGTTTGTATTCCCAGTTAGTGTTTCTCGACGTTTACTCAAGCTATGAAGTTTCAGAACTTTCCAACACCAACACTGAATAATTTGCTTAGTAACAAGTCTTCTGTGGGAGGAGATGCGGGTTTCCACCAGGTATGTGTCCAATGTTGAATTTTGAGATGGTATTCTGACGAGTGAATGTGTTCACTATTGCTGTGGCTTTTGGATGTAGTTCAAGTTGAGATTAATCAGGAGCTAGGGTACTTTCTAAAGCCACTTTCTTTAGCGGTTACAGGGCTCGTCAACCAAACATACTCTCGCTGCGAAGGTCCGTGGGTATTTTCTCATCGCATCTTTGGCCCAGCAGTTGAAGTGAGGTGGAAAAG